ACAGCTGGATGTTGCTAATTTAGCTACTTTAAAATTAGGGGAGGAAGAAGGAGGGAAAAGCTATGTTTTTATTTCTATACACCACTGTCAATTCAGAGAAAAGGAAAACAAGGGAGGTTTTGATAAACATGGTAAGTGGCTGGGCTTTCTCCTTGCTCTCCTAAATGAGCACATGTTATTCGAACTGACCTGAAGAAATCAGCAAACATTACCTTCAAGCTGCACATTCCAAAAAGAACCTAACCAAATAACTGGAACAAACAGCCATTTTCTCCTTTTAACAGCTTAACTGAGATACAGTTCACCCATTTGAAGGGTTCAGTTCAGTAGTATTTAGTAGATTATTTAGTAGATTTATACTTAGTATCATCACTCTAATATAAATTTGAAACATTTTCATCATTCCAAACAATCTACCTTTTAAAGGATGACTAAATGGTGGGGGTGGGGGAAGTATTCATAATGTGAAAAAAAAAAAGGATTTTAATGAGATATGAATGTTTCTGGTGTGAACTCACCCTGCCTACTGGAAGGCATGCATTTTAATAACAGAAGAAAGGCATCTTTTTCATTCTTAACTTCAGTTTGGAAGAGATCTCACTAGCTTCTGAAAAATGCAAAAGGCATAATTTGCTTTGCCCTTCAACCACATCATTTTCCTCTTTCTTAAAAAACTGGGTTTTTTCTTGCAATAATTTTGGCCATATTTATGGCCACTCTCTTTTACCATATTCACTCCCATCTTCTGCTTTCTGAAGATATATCACTACATTTCTTTAGAGTAACTATCTCTAGGTCCTTCCTTAGAGCAGCTCAAGAAAATGCACTACAAGAAGCAACAGAATAGGCAGATGAAACACCTATTATTCATTTTACTCAAGTCAAATTATTTTTAAATTGGCAAGTATATGAGATGAACTATTTTTTAAAAACATTGACTGAAGCAGAGATGCTTCATATTTTCTCCTCCTGACTTTCACTTTAATTTCTGGAGGGCAAAAGTTTGTAAGTCTCCTATGTATAAAACTTTATAGAGAACCAAGAACTTTAACATGCAGCAAGAAAATTTGGCTCATCAGCTGCCCAAATTTTGATCATCTCAAGATCAAATAAGAGCATTTAGCATAGAACCTAATGAAGTGCTCAATAAAAACACATGATGTATGTTTCTGAATAATGATATAATAACACTAACATTTGTTAAACATCTACCCTATGTATCTGCTGATGTGGGTGTTTTACTTTAACTCATTTCATCTTCACAAAATTTAAGAGTGTTAGGTATTACACTATCCCATCTTCATCATTTCATTATCTCCATCATCTACTCTCTAACAAGTAGAAGACTGAGATAAAGAGAATAATTTATAAAAATGATAGCCAGAATTCAAAACCAGTCTGGTTTGAGAGTTCACATGTAGCCCCCTCAGAAAATACATGGGATGAAAATGGTTATCTTACAGTATAGACACCAGTCTATTTTCTGATGTCAAAGAAATAAAGAAGTTCCACAGGATACAGTGATATGATCCCAAACAGGAGGATTTCTCATATAAAATAGAAGTATTGTGAGGATGCAGTGACTACAGACAGAAAGGTTCTTTCACATTAAGAAAGGAAAATGAGGGAGTATCACCATTTAAGATGAAAAATTAGCCAAAAAAGAAAAAAAAGCAGCATAAAATGGATGAACTAAACCATTTGAGAATTTAAAACTGTAAAGGTTTGTGTTTCTAACAGATTTATTTAGTAAAGACTGAAATTCAACTACAGTGGCCAAAATTTAAAGTCAGGTCTAAAGTATAACAATATGCTATAAGTGATTTCATTGTGTGAAACTACCCTAACAAAGAACATGCTAACAGGACTGCATCTGATATTCAATTAAAAAAAAAAACTGTGTATGAAATCAAACTACCAGAAGCTATTATGAAACCTCAGCCAAAAGAAAACAGATTCATCCCAGGATTATACTAGTAAAACTGAAATTTATCTTTAGTTTGCATGTATGTTACTGTTGAATTGATTTAAGACCACTATCTAAAGCAGAAAACTGGCTGGTCCAGCACAAGCAAGAGTTACTCAAGGTCCTTAGACCACAGCTCTACTATATAAACATTTCTTCAAAAATAATAAGCAAAGTCTGCTGGAGTACTCAAGACATAGGAATGGAATGAAATAACATTTATACACTCATCCTCCCCTCTAAAGTAATAGAATAAATTGGCAATGGCAAATACTATGATTTGCTAAATGATATTATCAGTTTTTCAACCTAGATTTGAACCAAGCTCACAAGAGCTTTCCTATTTATGGCAACACCAAGCCTAATACTTTACTGTGGATTTACAGTAGATTATAATTCTGACTAAACTATTTGGAATTATTTTTTAAGGAGAAAATTGGATACTTCAAATTAATGTGGTAAATTACAGTGGTTTGATTCCAATCCATTCCAATAAATATTCTTTTCTTTAAAGGTGAAAAAAATTTTTTTAATTATTTCAGCATTTTCATATGGCTCTGACAAGCTACTATTAAATTCTGAAATATAACTCTTGACCCCTTGCATCAATACAAAACAGTTAGGGAAAAGACCAAACCTAATATGGCTGGATGTGGTAATGAGGGCATAAGGAAAGAGACTTGAGACCTTGGTAATGAAAGCCTGAACACATTATCTTTATATGATGGAGAAATCATTTTTTTTCTTTAATCATACCTTTTGTATTATTCCAGTGTTATAAGAAAAGGTATTGACACGATTTAACAAGTTATAATCTGGATCTACTTTTTCAATTCTTCTTTTTGAACATTCTTAGAAACTAAAATTGCATCTCCTACGTTATCATGTGCTTTCTTGTATAACAAATACCCTCCAGTAGATTTCTAATGAATGTTTCTTCTTTAAAAGGTACCAAAAAGAAAAACAAAATCATGGCTAAATTTTCGTTTTTGTCAGGAACTTTCAGGATACACATATGATTCAACAATGACAAATGAACTCAGTGTCATGAGCTTGCTAGAGAGGCACTCTACCACTTGAGCCACACCAGCAGCTCAACAGTAGCAAATGAATCCGTTAAAGGAAAAATGTATGAAATCAGGACTGAGTAGACAAGAATGAAACTAATCAAATTGATTTGGCAAAGTGGAATTCTGCCCCTCTGTTCAACTATATTGGGAAGGATGAGAGGGAATGGATTATTTTACCAATGAATTTAAAATATCACATAAGTGTATAAAATGGTAAATATCTTTAAAAACTGCTAACAAGTGTTTTTGTCATTTTTTTTGTTAAGTCATCACATAAGACTTGTAAAGAATGAAAGGAAGAAGGAGAAAGGGAGAACCACCAAGAGGTGACAGCAGTCATCTATAGCACAGATTGCTTCTTAAAACATAATTTCAACAGTACTTGTTCCTAAATTCTTGACATCTGTCAGCCACTTTCCACCAGGGAATTAAGCAAAAGCATAGCTGCTCAATAGAACATGGCTACTTAGTGAAAGAATAACTTCATGGATATACAATAATTATATCTTTAAGAAAATCCCTAGCTGTGATCTGACATTAAAGTGGGTTCCCAGGGTCTTAATATGCTTCCACCAAAAATTAACAATGGTGAAACAAGTTACTTTTGCACTTAGACTAAACAAAATAAATAAAGACCTATGCCCAATTTCGTTTTCATCAGCTAAATTTAGATTTCAACTTTAAAATAAGTTTTGACATAAATGGCTTTAAAATAACAAGAGCATCTTACATTTGGGTCTTTTTCCAGTCAATTATTTCCTGGCATTGTACTAGAAATTCCTTGGCTTCACCTTAACCAATACTCCCAAGTGCTAATAAGGAGACTAGGCACATTATTAACCAGAGGATGCTGTGCTTAAAACATGCATGTTCCATATGTAGCTAATAATAGCATTATTTCTTTCAGGCCAGGAAAGATCCCATTAGAAATAGGGCCCTTATTTAAATGAAGCAGTTGGCTGCTATTGAGGGAATTCTTGTCAAAATGCAATTAATAAGAAGGGACCAAGATGACACAGGATCCTTGTCTTCAAAATATCCTTAACCTGAATCATATTTAATCTCACTGGAATAGTCAGTGGAGGGAAAAGTTAGTAACTGCAGATGTAATACATTTTAATTGTAGGAGAAGAGTGCCAAAGAGAATGGCAGTCACATATGAAATAAACCACTATCAAGGAAGCAGACATGTCAGTGAACACAAGTCAGAGAAATGGACTATCTCTTCCCAAAAGCCATAGAACAGATGGAAAATGATACACATGTAAACAAGGGAGACCTAATGACTGCCTAATTACAAAGGAGATATGATCTTCTCATTAACTGGCAAGCTAATTGACCACAATCCCAGTTTCATAAATTGTGTCCAGAAATCCAAACTTTGGTGTCTATACTCCACAGAATTCTCCTCACACTTCAAACTCTCCATCCAGCCACAAAGTTGTCAGTTCTGCTTGATTTGTTTGAATATTGTACTTGACGACAGCTGTCGGAAACAGTACATTAGAACAGCTGCTGTGACAGCTAGAAGGGGCTTGGAAGTTTAATTGGGCTCGATGTGACATTGTGCATTTTTCTAAACATAGAAATATCTATACAGCTAAAGAAATTTCTAATGGGTCTGAACAATGTTTATTTATTGGCACCACCAACTGGTTAGCCGTAGTTTGAATCATATCATTGTTCTTATATCTTTGCCACCAGGCTAGTAAGAGGTATAAAATACAAAAACCAGTAGAAGCAGTTAGATGCACAAGAAAAAAGGGCGTTAAGCAGGAGAGGAAGTGGTAAGGAAGTCACATCAATAATCCCTTTCAAAGGCTGGCTGGTAGCCAAGGAGGATCCCACAGTGTCTTGGGATTTACTTCCAAAGGAAATGTATTCAGAGGCCCTGAGCCCAGTGCCAACTGCAAACAAAACCACTCATTATGGTCACAGCCCCTAGAGAAGGGAAGATGGCTTACTCTCAGCATCTGCGCGGAGGAAGAAGGCGAGGAGCAGCAACAGCGACCTGGTTACGTGCACCATCCTGCAGCTTGTCAGTAGCGTGCGCTGGCAGCTTGGTATCACTGCCTTGGAAGCTGCAGCGAGTCTTTCTTCTCTGAAATATCAACTAGAGCCCTTTCAGAGCCTGGAAAGGGAGAAGAAGAGAAAAGAAGGGGAAGAAAATACAAAAGACGGTTAGATTTCTCACTCTTTCCCCCATTCCATCATAAGCAAGAGACACCCATGATAAGCACTGTTAACTGTCATGGTTTTGCAGTGGGAACTAACTTTGTCTGTTAAAATGTAGGTCTCTAACCTTCCCAATTCCAGGCCATTTGCAGAGCCAACTACCTGCAATTTCACTCTATGCCAGTGCCACCTTTTGAGCAGCGCACTCTGAGGAAGAGCTGTCATTTCATACGAAACAGTACATGAATACATCAGTGGAAGAAAGCACACCACAGTTATAAGAAAAATTTAAGAGAAGTTGTCCTGTGCAGGATGAAACTCTGTTAATGACATAATAATGGAAGCTGCTTTCTTGGCACCAGGTGAAATGACAAGGCTAATTCAACTTCTCCGGCTAAATAGTAGAGATCAGAATTTTTTTTTTTTTGCATTAGCACATTTGGCTTCTTCTTTAAAGACACATGAACAGCCAAGTCAAGTTTGAAGTCAGTAAGTCAAAACAATAGTTAGCATGTGCCCCTTGGAGTTAACAAGACTTTTTATGTGCCTCCTAGCAAGAGCATAATTTTCTCCACCACCTCTGTAAAAGCAATAGCCCACAGAATATTTTTTCAAAAGTTTACTGTGTGCAAGACATCAGAAAGTACCACTGAGCATAAGAAGTCTTAGAGTACAGATATAAGCAGGATTCCAACATGTGTTTTTTGTTTTTTGGTTTTTGGCAGTACGGGGTTTTGAATTTAGAGCCTCCACTTGAGTCACACCTCAGGTCTTTTTCACTTTTCTTTACTTTTCAGATAGGGTCTGGCACTTTTTGCCAGGGTCAGCCAGGGACCACAATTCTTTCACTTCTACCTCCCTGTGTAGCTGGGATCACAGGTGTGAGCCACTACCTATTTGTTAAAATGGGGGTATCACTAACTTTTGTCTGGGCTAGTCTCAAACCACAATGTTCCTATCTCCACTTCCCAAGTAGCTAAGATTACAGGTATGTACCACCCTACCTGCCAAGATTCCATCCTTTTTGAGTTCCAAGATTAGTAGGGGAAAAAAAAGATAGGTATACCACATGATCAGTATGCATTAATAAGTGATTAATGCCAGGAAAGAAAACCACACAAATGCCATAAAAGATAAGATCAGGAATGGTATTGTGGAAACTGTAGTGTCTCAAACTGGGCCTTAGAGAATAAGCAGGATTTTAACAAAATGAGGGAAAAGCATTCCTACAAGGCAGGGCAATAGGAAAGAACTGTGGAAAAGGTGAGCTTCCTAGTTGGGTTGGAGCAGTGCCTCCCAAATAGCAGAATGCAACAGAAGACCTGAATTGACTGCTAAAACAGAAAGGCAGTCACCACAACAGAGTTTGTGGCTCAGCAGGTCTATGGTAGAATCCAAGAATTAGCATTTCTGACTATGTTCCTGGGTGATACTGGTTAGGTCTGAATGAGGCATCCATTAGGAAAACAGAAGATGGAAAAAGAAAATGGCTTGAGATTAAAAATAGGTCACAGGGAGCCTTGAATGCCTATCTAAATCCAAAGTTTTTACTCAACAATCCAGAAAATGAGTTTTTAAATGTTTACTATTACAGAAACAATATGGAACTAGACTTTGAGAAGATTAACTGACATCCAACTCAAGGATGATTTAGAGAATGCTATGAGGCCACAGCAAGAATTCCAGGTGAGAAGTAATATGACACTTAAGGTTAACAGTGGTCCTGGTTTGGATGGGAAAGAAGGACAAGATGACAGATTACACCAAGCAATAGTTTCAAGTCTGACTAGTTAGGTGATTAATAGTTGTTCTTATATAACCTTCAGAAAATCTAGTACAGCCTCATATAGAGACTAGATTCTATATAAAAAAAAAAAGAGAGAGGTGATATCATCTGTTATTGCCTCCTCTAACATTGTGATAAGAACTTGAGAATGACTATAAGAATTCATTTATAAAATGAAACTGCATACCTTTAATTTTTGAACATTAGAATGTTGAAGCACATACAAAATTCTTGACAGGAAATACTATAGATATCCAGAAATAACCCAATTCACTAAAATAACTTGTACTTTAAAAAGAACTGTAATGTAGATACTATTAAGTATGCCTTTTCTAACACTGAACTTGAGTATGAGAATAATTTTTTTCAAAAAAGATATTATCTTTTTCATTACTATGCAAGAGCAGTTTGAATGCAGGAAAGATAAAACTAAAAGGAAGGAGAGAATCATTCTAATTACTATTCCACTAGATAGCCTTCTTTTCATCTTTTTAACAGATTTGTGGTGGCATGAAGAAGGAAGTTGTACACTGAAACACATCTTCTTGAAACTAAAAGCTAGCCAGCTGTTCCAAAACAGCTATTGTTATCAATCTCGTCCGGATAAACAACCTTTCAAGCAGTTCACAGCTATGAAATGTTTGAGATCTCAAAACTTCATAGGAGAAGTGCTAAATGAATCTGCTTCCCTCCTCATTCCCCTCCCCTTTCACTGCTCTTTTCCTTCTGCCAGCATTTCAGATGACAGTGAAGTGCAGGAGACATCAGTCCTGTCGGACTCAATTTGTGTCTGTGCAAGCGTATCAGAGCCAACTGCTACCTAATGACACCACACAACCAGAAAAGGAGACCTAGGAAATGCTTGCTCAGGGAAGGGTGACTTGGCTCTGCCTCCCACTCAGTTGAAGTGTATTAAGATGAAATTCTTCCAAATGAACCTTCAAATGTTACTTCTCAACTCAGAACACTGATAGGCTCCAGCATTCTAGAAATGAATGCAGACAGGAACATACATATTTATACTCAAATAAGCTATGCCCTTGGCCAAGACATAATAAAAGCAAAAGAGATCAGAGGCATGAAGATAATACCTATTCTATGTGTTCACTCAAACCAATCTCTATTCCTCATCTTGCTTATTACATAAACACTGGCAAAAAGGAGATGATGGCTGCACATCAGCTCAGTAGAATTTATATTTTAGGATTGTAAGGAAATATGTAAGTAAAAAATAATGAGATGAATGAATATGAACAGTAGTTTCCATTGGCCTGTAGTAAGGGCTGTTAAGCACTCTGCAAAGAGCTTGAAAGGGTTTGGAGGTACTAACAGTGCCATGCTTTAGACATGCTTAGTATGTCACAAATTATTCTGTATTTGTCCAATACCCTTCAACAGAAGCTAATTCTGATTTCGTTTCTGTCATTCATCAACAGGGACAAACAAATAAAACCAAAGGATCAGCTGGGCACTGGTAGTTCACACTTGTAATCTAGCTACTTGGGAAGTCAAGACTGGTAGGATCACGGGTTAAGGCCAGCTGGACCAAAAAGTTCATGAGACCCAATCTCAACCAATAGCTAGGCACTGTGGCTCATGCTTGTCATCCCAAGCTATGTGGGAAGCTGAGATTAGGAGGATCAGAGGCCAGCTGGGATGAAAAAAATTCACAAGACCCCATCTTAACAGAAAAATACCTAGATATGGTGGTGAATGCCTATCCTTCTAGCAATGGAAGGATATATAAAATAGGAGGGCTATATTCTAGGCCATGCTGTGCAAAAAGCAAGACCCTAGCTCCAAAATAACCAGAGCAAAAAAGACTAGAGGTGAGGCTCGAGTGACAGAACATCTGCCTAGCAAGCACAAAGCCTTTAGTTCAAACCCCAGGATCACCAAAAGACAAACAAAAAAGTATCTGAATTTAAAATCAAATTTAATCTCTCCAGTTTATCGTTTCTCATATGACAAAGATCTGATGAAAATAATCTTACTGATTTCTAATCATATGAATATTTACTTTTGTAAATATGTACCTGTGTGGTTAGAGAAAGTAACTGTTCAGAATGTAATATAACTTGAAATGGAAAAACTAATAATACATGTGACAGAAAGCCTTAACAAATTACTGATTCAGGTGATCATACAAGCTGACACCTATCCAATGACTCTTTTTCTTTAACGGTATAATACTTTTCTGTAATACTCATATTCATATTCAAACTAACATGAATGCTGATTTAAATTTTTTCAGCATTCTGTACTGCTGACATGTATTTCTGTAGATTGTGTTAACATAAAAAAAAGCAAAATAGGGCTTTTCTTTTTTAAAAATATCCAAAGTCTTAAAGAAATGGCTGATTTTAGGTTTTGGGTAGGAAATGTAGAAAATTAATCTGGAACAGCCTGTCATAACAGGAAGCAAGGAAGTTTTCAGGAACTACTAGGGTATATCCAAAAAAGAATAAAGATAGTGAAGTTCCCATCAGCTAGACATAAGAAAAATCTGACTGGCAAAAGTATAATAATTACGACTAACAGATATGCATCATATTATAATTCACGAGGCTATAATTTATAAAATAAATTTTAATTACATTGGTCACTCTAGGAAGAAGTTATAGAACTGCAATGATTTAGGTAAGTGTTCAAAGGCTCATGTGTTAATGGCTTGGCCCCAGTCTGTGGTGCTACTGGGAAGAAGTAGAACTTTTAAAAGACAGAGCCTACTGAGAGGGTGTCCCTGTCATTGGGGGCATGTCCTTAAAGTGCATACTGGAGCCATTAACCCTTCCTCTGCCTCTCTTTTAAATCTCAGTCATGAGTCATGACAGGCTGCCTCTGTCAGGTGCTCTAGCCATGATCATTGAGCCTCGACAGGTTCCAAGCTAATGGACCAGCAGGTCTTGAATTGAAACCTCTAAAACTGTGAGCCAAAATAAGCTTTTCCTTTCTTTAAGCTGACTTATCTCAGGAATCTGTCACAATAATGGAAAGCTGACTAACACAAGAACCCAATCATTGTTCCAAAAATATGGCAAGAAAGGAAAAGAATTCAGTATTTAAAAGAATTTTTCTTTAAGAACTTTAAAGAAGAGTCTCTAGTGCTTTCACTGG